TTTCTGATAGGCCTTGGGATCAGTTTTTGCTTCGTTTTGTTTGCTGAAATGTTCTTAATTCTGGGTATTTTTGGGTGCTCTCTTGGTAATAGGTTGTGAATATATTAAGGGTTAGCTAGAATTTGAGCCCTGTTCAGCTGACATTTACTTCTTGTTGTTGGTATATTTGTGGTGCTTTTTGTAAAAAAGAAAAAAAAGGATACAAAGCTTATTTTTTACTCTTGGAGAAAATGGAAGTTTCAGTCATTAACAGAATTTGGTTAGGAAAAGGTCACATGACCAGTGTGACATTTTGTTTTTGAGTACCCATATGTGATGGTCAATATTTTGTCTCACTTCTGATTTGCCACATAAAAGCAAATTATAGTAGGATATACTTAGCCAAATTTTTTTTAACAGTTTAAGTACCTAACACAATTCACACTTAAAAATGGTAGAGGATGATGCCCATCTTTTAAATAATCATAGTATTTTACATCAAGCTTTTGATTCTTCATTGTTGGTATATTTGACATATCGTGTTTGTCGTTTCAGCATTTTGACTTGCCTAAACAAGGATTCATTCATTTGGTGGAGAATGGTGTCATTCTCAAATGATGGTTTATCCGATCAATGTGTGAAGAAGCGGTCATCAGTAAATGGTTATCATTTGCTGGATTCTGGAACTATGCCAAAACATAAAGTTCGGATTGTCTGCGGAGAGCGGGATTTACCCCCAGGTTGTGGTAGAAATACTCCAAAAGTTGACTTGAACCACAAGGAAAATGATGTGGTCTCCATCAGTGAAAATATGGCTGACACTCTGGTGGCCCATGGTCCTAACACTGGGGTTGAGTTCTGTTCTGTTGAAGTTGCGGACTGTCTCTTTGACATGGAAGAGAATGAAAAATTGGATAAGTTGGTAGGGAATGTGTCAGCCAGAACCACTAATGTGATAGAAAATGGGTTGGAAGAACCTACAAGTCATGACAAATCGCTTAGATTTGAGTTGTCTAAAGATCATAAAAATAGTGAAATGTCATTGCTCAAGAAAGCAAAAGTCATTGGGTATGATGAATTAGGGACGGAAGTTGATGTTGAGAGATGCTCATTTTTGGTTGAAAATGTAGTCGGTGTGTACAAAGATCATGTGCTGCATCCTGGCAGTGTGACTGATAGGGCGATTCCTGTTTGTGATTCGAAAACATTGTCACTGCCTCAGTGTCAAATCAAGAATGGAAGTGTTGAGGATAATATTTCCCCCTTACCAAAGAAAAAGTACTGCCGAAGAGGAGTTTTTGCTGTTCGTGACTTCCCTCCATTTTGTGGAAGAAATGCTCCTAAGCCAACTAAACTGGATCGTTTGGGTGGTAGTGAAGCAAGCAAGCGAGCGATTCTGTTAGATAAGGGAGTTACAGAAAATGAAGTGACTGAGACTTCGAAAAATGTTATGGATACTGGGACATTGCCCCTGGGGTTGACCGCAAGTCGGGAAGCTGATTCGTGGAGTAAGACAGAGGTTACTGGTTCCAAATGCAGTTTAATAGAACGAGCAACAGTTCACGTTGATGACCCAGAAGGTGTCCAAGATAACTATGTTAGAAGGAGCCAACTTGAAAGAACTGTAATGTTGCCAGAGACAATGACGAAAAAGGAGAATGATGATACAGGGAAATTTTTGCGGAAGCAGAGTATTGTGTATTCACGGAATGAACATGAAAAGGCGACTACTGCTAGACATGGTTTTGGTTCTGGAGATAAAATTACTAAGCCAGTTGTGCATAGGTTGATGGATGAGCGTTGTTCTCCATGGAGGCAGAAGAAGCAAACTCCTAGGCAAATTGTGCAAGGTCTGATGGCTGAGACAAACAAGGACTGGAGGCAGAAGGAGCAAACTCGTTTAGATTGCCTGATGAGTAGAAACCAAGTTCAAAAGCCTAGCATGTATCGACAGAGGATGTCCGTAGTTGTTGCCAGAAAAAGTATTCCTAAACCAAAATTTCCAGAGAGACTGTTTGGCAGGAGTAGATCAGGTTTTGTTGGTGAAGCTGTGCCAGAATATCCAAGTGCACCGGTTTCCAGAAATGATGGAATTCGTAATTTGAATTGTGAAGCAGAACCTGAAGATTCTCCTATTGGACAGAAGAAGTGTGAGTTTGATGAGACTCGACCACCTTTTGGTCCAAAAAGTTCCAGTCGCAGTGATGCTCGTAGTAAAGTTTTAGAGACTCTTCGTCTGTTTCAGTCTCACTTTAGAAAAATCTTACAGGGGGAAGAATCAATGTCAAGACCTGCAGAATTAAAAGCTAAGCAAAAAGATAAACTTAGAAGGATTGATCTTCAAGCAGCAAAACTTGTCAAAGCCAAAGGGAAGGAAGTTAATACAGGAACACAGATACTGGGAGAAGTTCCAGGAGTTGAAGTAGGAGATGCATTCCAATACAGGGTTGAACTTGCTCTTGTGGGAGTTCATCGCTTATATCAGGCTGGTATTGATTCCATGTACATTAAGGGAGAACTGCTGGTTGCAACTAGTATTGTTGCCTCAGGAGCCTATGATGATGATTTGGGAGATGCTGATGAGCTGATTTATTCTGGTCAAGGTGGAAATGTGGTTGGCAAGGTCAAAATTCCTGAAGACCAGAAACTTGTGAAAGGTAATTTAGCCTTGAAGAATAGCATACATACAGGGAATCCGGTTCGGGTGATTCGTGGATCTAAGGAGATCAGGACTCCTGAATCGGGTGGAAGACCTAATGTGGTGACTACTTATGTGTATGATGGCTTATACACTGTTGAGAATTATTGGACAGAAAAAGGGCCACATGGTAAGATGGTCTTTATGTTCAAGTTGGTGAGAATTCCTGGACAGCCAGAGCTTACTTGGAAAGAAGTACAGTCTTCAAAAAATTCCAAAGTGCGGCATGGTGTATGTGTTCCTGATATTACAGAAGGAAAGGAGTCACTACCTATAGCAGCTGTGAACACAGTTGATGGTGAGAAACCCCCACCATTCAAGTATATCAAGAACATGATGTATCCAGTTGGTTTCCACCCTGCTCCACCTAAAGGCTGTGATTGTATTGGTAGATGTTCTGATGCCAAGAGGTGCTCATGTGCAGTTAAAAATGGAGGTGAGATCCCTTACAATCGTAATGGGGCTATTGTTGAAGTGAAGCCTCTTGTATATGAGTGTGGTCCTCATTGTAAGTGCCCTCCTTCGTGCTATAATAGAGTGAGCCAACATGGTATTAAAATTCCACTGGAGATCTTCAAGACAGATACAAGGGGCTGGGGTGTGAGAGCTCTAACTTCTATCTCTTCAGGAACCTTTATCTGTGAGTATACAGGACAACTTCTTGAGGACACAGAAGCGGAACGAAGAATTGGCATGGATGAATATCTTTTTGATATTGGCCAGAACTATGGTGGTTATACTGCCAACTCTTCTGGACAAGCAAACCAAAATGAGTTAGTAGAAGAGGGTGGTTATACCATTGATGCAGCTCGCTATGGAAATGTAGGACGATTCATCAATCACAGTTGTTCCCCCAATTTGTATGCACAGAATGTTGTCTATGATCATAAGGATAAGAGAGTGCCCCATATCATGCTTTTTGCGGCAGACAATATTCCTCCCTTGAAGGAGCTTTCTTACCATTACAACTATGTTGTTGATCAGGTTTATGACTCTGGTGGCAAGATCAAGGTGAAGAGGTGCTTTTGTGGATCTTCAGATTGTTCTGGTAGGATGTACTAGGATTTATAAAATTTAGCTGTTGAAGTTAAATAGATGAGTTACTCTTGACTGATTGTCTTTCTTTTGTCCTCATCTGGAAATAGTAGTGCTTCTTCATTTTGGTTAGTTTGATATGCTATATCGTATAGGGTGTATGTTCATGGAGAAATAAGCTTGTACGGGCTGACTCGTATGATCCTATAATCAGAACTAGTACTTGGCCCTTTTGTGTGATCTTAGATGTGCCTGAACAAGTTAATTTGCTTTCCAATCTCCTTGCATGAGTCTGGTTACATTACTTTCTCTTTTCAGTTGCAAATAATAGCATGATGGTTATATATATATATATATATATATCTGATGGAGGATGCAGAATTTCTGTGGCCGACTCAAGTGCCCTCTTTGAACAGCTTTTGGCTCGAACAAATATACACACATACTTGAAATCCTTGATTTGATCTGCTCATATGCCCCATTGATCAACTAACATTTGTGCACCTTACTATATGTTCTCTACAGACTTGTATTTTATCATAATTTTAAAAATTTCCTACAATTTAAAAAATTTCAAAAATCTCCTCTCGAATACAAAAAAAAACAAGGGACATGAAATAATTAGCTCTTAATTTTGTGAGATTTATGTAATTTTTACTTGTAATTATTTTGTGTTTTGTGGTGTAGTTTCCTTTGATTTAGCTAGCGTTTGGCCCCAAGTTGGCAAGTTCTCAAATATTCTTGGCAAATTATATTTGCCTGAAGTTTTTGGTGAAGTTTCACCATGTGTTTGACCCCAATTTTTCTCAAAAATATTTAACTATTTCAAAAAATATGATTTATACTCATAAGTTCTAAACATTATTAAAAATACCCGTACATTTATATTCTTATTTTATAATAAATATGTTCCGTTAAAAAATAACCTTATAATATAATTGATAACAATCAACAATAACAAAATAACAATATAGGCAAGACAATACATTAATTGCATACACAAACTTGTTACTGATTCAGTTATAATTATAACTCACTAAATACAAATTGTTCTTTTTTCTCAATTTTATCATTCAAATTAGAACTCAAACTTTTTCGGAGGAAGAAGTAACAAATATTAGTTGGAATTAATAAATAATGGATATTTTTTTATAAAATATAAAAATTTGAGATAATATTTAAATGTTTAAAAATTCCCAAATATTAAAACTTGATCCAAATACTAATATTTTCTAATATTTGAGAACTTGGAATATTTAGCAAATATATTTACCAAGTATTATAACGAAACACCACTAGTTTTTTCCTAAGTATTCTTTGGGTTTGGATGAGTTTTGTCCTCTGTTTGTAGGTCGCATCTATTCTCTTCCCTTTTACCATCTTTTTTTCGCCCTTCGCATACTCGTTAAATTAGTCCACTCCCTTTACATCAACAATTTCTGCAATTCTAAGGATCTGCAATGGCTCTTCAGATTGCGAAAAGACTCCTTCGATGCCGCGCTGATTCAGTTGCATCCTCTGTTAGGTTTTTCGATCGGACCTTCACTTCCGAATCCAATTCCAACTTGATCCGCGCTACTCTTTTCCCCGGCGATGGTATTGGACCTGAAATCGCCGAGTCCGTCAGGCAGGTCTGCTTCTTCGTTCAATACTTGTTCTCCTTTCTCTTGTTGTTTCCATAGATATAGTTAGATGCCGATTATTAGAGGTTTGTACCGTTGTCGCTTCATATTGTTACTGTTCATCAATTCTCTGTATACTTGCTAGGTTGAACCTCGGGTTTGGGCTCTGGCTCTCCTTGTAGCACTCGTGAAATTCTCCCTTTTCATAATTAATTAATGCCGAATGTTGAAATAAGCAAGACTTTGTAGCATCATCATTTGTCTTTTTTAATTATGATGCGAGTGAGGCTGTCTTGAGATAATGCAGTACCTTTCCTCATAGGGGTTGAAATTTTCACTTGTCGCCTGCTGCAAGTTTTTTTTCTTTGTAAGACCAACTTGTGGGAATACAGAGGTATGTTGTTGTTGTGCTTTGGGCCGAGGGTCCTTTGGATAAAGCCTCTCTTGTGGAAGGTAGGGGCAAGGCTGGGTATATACTAACCTCTGCAGACTCTACTTGTGGGACTAAATTGGGTATGCTGTTGTTGTGATTATTTTGACACTCCTACTAAGTCATAGCTGCAGGAAGCTTAAATGCATTTTTGGTACCATGGCTTCATAGCTTCTCTTTTTTGTTTTGGATGAAATGATAGGCTACTTTCCTTGTTGGTTATATTTCGGATGCTCTTATCAGCTAGTCGAATCATTTAGGAATGAAATGGACAAGTAAATATCTTGTCCTTATTAATTGTACTAAGGTGTGTGACAAAGAGTTCTTCTGCTAATCCTGCATGGAGGTTCACGGGCATTATGTTTGGTTGGATTCTTCTATTTTGCTTGACATTTTTCTTCTAGACTAGATTGTCCACAATAATGAAAGTTGATTTGCTTCCCTCAGTGACGAATCCAAGATTTAAGTTTTAAGGGTTCAACTTTTAAGTTTTTTAGCATTGACCCAACTGTATTTTAAAATCATGGGTCGTATCTACTATTTGCTGCTTTTTGTGAAGTCTTAAACATAGGTATATGCTCAGTGTCGGAAGCACGGGGTTCAAATGAACTCAGTACAGTTACTCTTTATCTGCCTCTGACTCCCTTGGAGCTAGGGTTTCCAGTACTTCATTAAGTCTGGGGTTATAAATTGCTAAATCCTATTTAAAACTACAGATATTCAAGGTTGCTGAGGTACCAATTGAATGGGAAGAACACTATGTGGGGACGGAGATAGACCCTAGAACCAACAGCTTTCTAACATGGGAAAGTCTTGAATCAGTGAGGAGGAATAAGGTTGGTCTGAAAGGGCCAATGGCCACTCCTATTGGAAAAGGTCATCGTTCCTTGAACCTTACATTGAGGAAGGAGTTAAATCTATATGCCAATGTCAGACCTTGCTACAGCCTACCTGGATATAAGACTCGCTATGATGATGTGAATCTCATCACTATTAGAGAGAACACTGAAGGAGAGTACAGTGGTCTTGAACATCAAGTGAGTATCTTTCCATATTATTTAATAGAAAACTGCTTATTTCTTGAGATCTTCAAATTCATTGGCATTTATTATCAGGTAGTAAGAGGTGTGGTTGAAAGTCTCAAGATCATTACCCGTCAAGCAAGTTTAAGGGTTGCAGAGTATGCATTTCACTATGCCAAGACCCATGGAAGAGAGAGAGTGTCTGCAATTCACAAAGCCAACATCATGCAAAAGACAGACGGTCTTTTTCTTAAGGTCTATCCTTATGTCTGGCATCTCATTATAGTTATATGTTTTATTAACCAGCCTATGTTGTTAACTTTCTTTCTTCTTGTCCAGTGTTGCCGAGAGGTCGCGGAAAAGTACCCTGAGATAAAGTATGAGGAAGTTGTCATTGACAATTGCTGTATGATGGTATGATCAAAGACCAATCACTTCATTGTGACTCCAGTACTAAACATGTTCATCTTAATGAACAACCTTGAATGAGTTCAATGAAATGTTTAACAGTATTGGACCAAGCCTCATTCTAAAGTTTCATAAATAGTATCTAGAAATATGTGGTGAAATAACATACTTCCTTTTCATGCGTACAGCTTGTGAAAAATCCAGCACTTTTTGATGTTCTGGTGATGCCTAACCTTTATGGTGACATAATCAGTGATCTTTGTGCTGGTTTGATAGGTGGTTTGGGCTTAACTCCAAGGTATGCCATTTTTTTCATTATACGTATCTGATGTCCCATTTGAGTTCATTTTGTCTCATTATTTTTTTCCTAAAGATGATTTCTCCTACAGTTGCAATATTGGCGAGGGAGGTATTGCCCTTGCTGAGGCTGTGCATGGTTCAGCACCTGATATTGCTGGAAAGGTTTGTATTCGTATAGAATATCATGTCCCATGAGAATATTGCCTTACTCTTATAGCCTGATGCTTCTGTATTCAGTATCTCATTTAACCATCAACCATTACCAAGTTCAATCAATTATTGGGTGGGTATCTGACTTCTTGCATCACTCCCCAAATAGAAGTCAAATTTTTGTGTCATTTCTTAAGTTTGATGTTAGATAAAAGAGTGATTCAGTGATTTTCAGGCAGTTATATTTCACTCCATTCAACTTTTATTTATATTTTACTCCATTCAACTTACACACACTCACATTTATTTATATGTGCATATATATGTGTGTGTGTGTGAAACACATATGTATGTGTATGTGTATGTTTTGTGTTTCTTATCTTTATCTTAAAAACACAACTTTACGTTTCCTTTTATATTGTTCAAACTGTAGCTACTATTATTTACTTTTTTGATGTAGTGTTGCACTCACATCGGGTGTGCTAAATAAGCTTGCAGTCTATTAATGTGGGACTATAAGAAGAGTATTTTCTTTTTAGTTTGTTAGGATGTCCTTCAATCTTATTAGCAATAATTAATGCACAATCAATGCATATTGATGATTAGTCTACTTTGATACTGATGAGCAAAGCACACTATAAAATAAGGTGTAGTGCGTCAAAGATAGTATAGAAAAATCTTGTCTCCAAGGGATTGGTTCAAACAATGTTCAAATAATTCCTGGCTTAATTCTATTTAGGAGGATAAATTATTTTAGATTGGGACGGCTTAAGAAGTGACTTCCATGTTGGAGGTCTCAAGTTCGAAACCTCTTGCCAGCGAAAGCAAGGGGTTTGCCTTCTGGGTCGAGGTCGTCGCACCGGGCTTGCCTAGTGCGGGTTACCTCTCCTATGTGGTTTGCGAGCTATTGCATAGGAGAGGGGGTTTTACCTTGTGCGCACCCAAAGGGTAGCGGCTGCGGGTTTCCCTTGTCATAAAAAAAAGAAAACGAGAAGTATTGGGATAGGTGATTAGATAGGACATAACACATTTGTAGCTTACCGAGGACATAACCCCATAGGAAGATTTAGAGGTCGATGGTTAGGATAGAATGTTTGTAGGCAGTCAAGTGTTGTCTAGTTCTTTATCAGTATTGTTTTTATTACACTCGTACTATCTTATTCTTCAATTTAGTGCCTCCTTTACTTCAGTTATTATATGATTTGTTGTTGCTACTATTCTCTTCTCCATTGTTTTCAGTGTGGATTCTTCACTATATTTGTTTCACCTACTTGATTTTTTTTATGCTTTACTTGAGACGAGGGTGTATCGAAAACCACCTCTCTACCTTCTCAGCGTAGGGGTAATGCTGCGAACACACCACACTCACCAGACCTCACTTGTGGGATTACACTTGGTATGTTGTTGTATAGAGTTGGGATAAAATCTGTCAATAGATGGTGATTTAGTTTGTGGATAATTTGGAAACTGATGAGGAGACATAATAAATTAACCTATTTTATGAAAAGACAGCCACCTTTTGTTTACCAGGGATGGCAATGAGGCGAGGCGGGGCAATCCTTGACTCACCTTTGCATTGCCTCATTTAGTCTTTTTTGACCAATTTTTTATTTTTTTGTGATGCACATCTGAAAATTAACCTTGTTCAATTTTTAAGATAAAATTGAGAAAATTTGAAGGTTTCTGTATCAGTACTGTTTTGCTAATTTGTACTGTAGCTGGATTAGTGAAAAATCTGAACTCTTGGAACATTTTTTTAAAGCAATGTTTTTCCAGAAGCGTTGTAAAAACAATTTATGTTTGTCTGTATTTCCTAAAGGATAGTAAAGTTCAGTCCTATTTGAACCCCCCCACAGAGATTTTTAAGTGTCAAGAAAGACAAATAAACTAGCAAAAGTTTCATCTAAGGAGATCAACAAACAAACAACTAACTAATACACTGATGAAAAAGAACTAAAAATGGATTAGCCCCCCCCCCCAAAAAAAATAATAAATAAATTCCAGACCTACTGTTTACCTCTATGTCAAGATGAAGTGAAGTGGACAGCCATTAAACCTTTTACTAATATCTGTGGTACCTAATTAACACATGTACATCCTTGCATGTGTGCTTCTACTAAAGTAGCAAAGCATATCCGCGATATAGGAAATAAGGTGAGGTGTTACTGTATCATCATGTGCTTTGCTTTCCTTACACACCAAGAATAGAGAATACTAATATTTTGGTATCCCTTCTCTTTGAACAAAGGGAGTTCTGAGCAACATTAAAGTTGCCTTTGTGTGACCTATAAGTCATGCCGTGGAATCAGCCACTGATGCTCTTGTTGGTGTAGGCTGCCTCCATTACACCTTCTTGGGTGCGACGGTTCTCCAGACCCTGCGTTAACATGGGATGCTTCTTGTACTAAGCTGCCCCCTTTTTAAAAAAAAATCTTTTTCCTTTACTTTAGTATTGATTACAACAATCATTAAAATTGTCCAGACTTTCCTCATCGATTTTGGTCAAAGTACCCAAAATCAGTTGACCAAATTGGACACAAATTCCACACCCACGTCGTGTCGACATGGGTGCGGCACCAAAAGTGAAGAGTCCGAGCAACTTAGTCTTCTTGTATCACTCCCCAAATAGAAGTCAAATTTTTGTGTCATTTCTTAACTTTGATGTTAGATAAAAGAGTGATTCAATGATTTTCAGACAATTATATTTCACTCCATTCAACTTATATATATATTTAACTCCATTCAACTTACACACACTCACATTTATTTATATGTGCATATATATATATATATATATATATATTTATGTATGTATGTATCTATATATGTGTGTGCATGTGCCCGTATATACACATATGTATGTGACTATGTGTATGTATATGTTTTGTGTTTCTTATCTTTATCTTAAAAACATAACTTTACGTTTCCTCGTTATATTGTTCAAGCTGTAGCTACTGTTATTACTTTTTTGATGTAGTGTTGCACTCACATCGAGTGTGCTAAATCAGCTTGCAGTCTATTAATGTGGGACTATAAGAAGAGTATTTTCTTTTTAGTTTGTTAGGGTGTCCTTCAATCTTATTAGAAATAATTAATGCACAATGAATACATATTGATGATTAGTCTGCTTTGATACTGATGAGCAAAGCACACTATAAAATAAGGTGCAGTGCATCAAAGATAGTATAGAAAAATATTGTCTCCAAGGGGTTGGTTCAAACAATGTTCAAATAATTCTGGCTTAATGCTATTTAGGAGGATAAATTATTTTCAATTGGGATGGCTTAAGAAGTATCGGGGATAGGGGATTAAAAAGGACATAACACAGTTGTAGCTTACCGAGGACATAACCCTATAGGAAGATGTAGAGGTCAATGGTTAGGATAGAATGGTTGTAGGTAGTCGAGTGCTGTCTAGTTCTTTATCAGTATTGTTTTTATTACAGTTGTACTATCTTATTCTTCAATTTAGTGCCTTCTTTACTTCAGTTATTAGATGATTTGTTGTTGCTACCGTTCTCTTCTCCATTGTTTTCAGTGTGGATTCTTCACTACTATATTTGTTTTACCTACTTGATTTTTGTTATGCTTTACTTGAGCCGAGGGTGTATCGAAAACCACCTCTCTACCTTCTCAGCTTAGGGGTAAGGCTGCGTACACACCACTCCCTAGACCTCACTTGTGGGATTACACTAGGTATGTTGTTGTATAGAGTTTGGATAAAATCTGTCAATAGATGGCGAGTTAGTTTGTGGATAAGTTGGAAACTGATGAGGACACCTAATAAATTAACCTATTTTATGAAAAGACAGCCACTTTCTGTTTACCAGGGATGTCAATGAGACGGGGCGGGGCAATCCTTGACTCGCCTTGCCCTGCCTCATTTAGTCCTTTTTTGAACAATTTTTTTTTTTGTGATGCACATGACACATCCTCATCTGAAAATTAGCCTTATTCAAATTTTAAGATAAAATTGAGAAAATTTGAAGGTTTCTGTATCAGTACTGTTTTGCTAATTTGTACTGTAGCTGGAATAGTGAAAAATCTGAACTCTTGAACATTTTTTTCATTTTTTTAAAGAAATGTTTTTCCAGAAGCTTTGTAAAAACAATTTATGTTTGTCTATATAAAGGATGGTATAGTCCAGTCCTATCCTCTATGTCAAGATGAAGTGACGTGGGCAGCCATAAAACCTTTTACTAATATCTGTGGTACCTAATTAACACATGTACATCCTTGCATGTCTGCTCTCCTACTGAAATAGCAAAGCATATCCGCGACATAGGAAATAAGGTGAGGTGTTACTGCACTAATATGTGCTTTGCTTTCCTTACGCACCAAGAATAGAGAATACTAGTAATATTTTACAGTTATCCCTTCTCTTGGAACAAAGGGAGTTCTGAGCAATATTAAAGTTGCCTCTGTGTGACCTATATAGGTCACACCATGGAATCAGCCAGTGATGCTTTTGTTGGTGCAGGCTGCCTGCATTACACCCTCTTGGGTTCGGCTGTTTGCCAAACCCTGCGTTAACATGGGATGCTTCTTGTACTAAGCTGCCCATTTTAAAAAAAATTCTTTTTCCTTTTTGTATCAGTGTATCCTAGGTCCCTGTTTTCCCCCTTTATAAAACTGAATGTTGATTGAGAAGCAACTGAGAAGTATATTCTGGTCTTAATTAGAAGATTCTTTATCTGAAATTTTTTGGTGTCTATGATGAAGACCACACTTAGTTGGAATATGAAATAAGGATGTAAACAGTGTATGCTTGACACACATTCATTTTTTAAAATATAGTGCACTTTCTTGTTCATCTGCCATTCATTAGGCATGCCCACCCCTGTTTTTTCGTATTTGTTGATCCAAAATTATGTGTGCAGAATTTGGCGAATCCAACTGCTTTGCTTTTGAGTTCTGTGTCTATGCTTCGTCATCTAGAGCTTCATGATAAAGCTGAACGCATCCAAGATGCCATCCTAAAAACAATTGCAGAGGGAAAGTACCGAACTGGCGACCTTGGAGGCACTGCTACAACGACTGAGTTCACAAATGCCATCTGCGATCATCTTTGAACATGTGTATATATATAGTCAATTTTGATAGTTGGAGTGACCTTGGAGCCGAGGCGAACCCAGGATTTGAAGACTTGGGGGTGAACCAATAAACTTAAAATAAAAACAATGAAAATATTGGGATCTCTAGCTGGATTTGAACCCTGATCTCATGGGTGGTACTTCTAGCTTGTACCAACGGCACAAGAGCACTCATGAGTGCATTGTTAATTATATTCTAGTTTTTGACAGTTTCTCAAAATAGATATACATATATGCACATGATTTTATTTTGCAAGTTAACGGGTGCATGTGCACCCCATATATGACGGTGGGTCTGCCTCTGCCTTGGAGGCATTGCTACAACAAGTGAGATCGAATTTTTATTTTTTACAAAAAAATATTTTAAGAAGTATAAATAATTCTTTTTGTCTTAAATCAACAAGTTCAAATGATCTAGTGATAAAAGTGCATTCTACCACAGTCGAGGTGAAGTTTTGAATCCTAAAAGATGCATTTTTTAAATTATTGTATGATTGAAAAAAATCGATTAGAACTTTACCCAACTTTCGGTTTGAGATTGATTTTTGACATTTTTAGTAGTTCATTGACTGAATAATCTTGATTTTTTCCCAGTAAATAAAATGTCTAAATTTATACATAACTTATATTTATTTTGAAGTGAGAAAATGATTTTGTGCACCACCTTCTAATTTTTAGGGGTAGTTTAGTTGTGGCTTGTGGGGGGAAAATGAGGTAAAAGTGCCTTACAGGTTTTCAATTAAAAAAAAAGGGACAAGTGGATCTCATTACTTTTTCTCTACTTTTTTTATCTTTAATATTAATAAAAAAAAACTCAACTAATAACATCTTTTGTAGTTGTCTGGACAACTACTAAAGTTGTTTGGACAACTACTGAAGTTGTCGAACGACTAAAAAAGTTGTCTCCACAACTACGACAGTTGTTGGACTAAAGTGTATAAGTTAAAAGTTTGGGACTATTGAGAAAATATTTTTTAACCTATTTAATACAATTTGTCACTTCTACCCAATTGTTAAGGCTTGAAGGATTTCTACCTAATTGACTAACTAATTTATTCCTTTTAATAGACCATCCCGCTTGTGGGTGAGATACTAATTCTGAGCTAGGTGCATAATTATTTTATCCTCGTTTCATATAAAGAAAAGAATCAACTAATTCTATATAAGTAATAAAATATTCTTGCACGTCCCCAGGTAATAACAGTCTAATGTTGTTTTAAAGGGTAATTTTTCAATGACTATATTTGCATAAGTTTTATCAACAAAATCTAAATGATGTCCTAATATTAAGGATACATTTAGTGTTGTGGTTATATATATAACATTTCAAATAAAAAAGTATAGTTTTTCACGAGTACTCAATTTGGTTAGTTATATAATTAGTCCAAATCAACTTAACTTTTAATTGGACTAAATTGAGAAGTTCAAAATTATCTAAAAGTCCAATATATAAAAGATCGAGTCATTAATTGATTATATAATTTGTCCAAACTTAAGCAGATTGATTGAATCATATGTGTTCTTGTATATATCGATCGACCTCTTAATATGTGTTCTCGACCAAAATAAAGATGCAATTTGTGTTCAAAATGGTCCACAGGATTCTACGATTCATATGTACGTAACAAAGTATTGCAATATAATGAAGACAAACTACATATACACACCAACATATTTAACACAATTTCATTAATAGTTTATTTATTTTTACACGAATTTAATTTGATCAGCCTTATTAACACAAACATTTGGTTAATAAAACCACAATGGCTGCTGATAACCCTAGACAAATTACTTTATTTGACTCCAAACCATAATATATAAATTAACAACTTTATGTCTCACATTTTTTTGTATTTGTTCAAGGAATCTGAATATCAGTTTCATAAATAGAGCCAGGTTTCCAATAATCTGGGATCACAGTTTTGTCTGAGTGAATCCATTTGGTCTTTTCACCTTCTTTTATTTGAATCTTTAATTTCAAATCTCCCATTGGTGGATTTGCCAAATCAAAAACTGCTCCATATGACCTCCTCATTGGTATCCACTTGTAGCTATTTACCTGTGTATATCAATATTAGTTACGTGTTTGGATAAAAGTGATTTAAAAAAATAAGAGGATATGTATACATACATCGTAGATTTCAATTGCTATGATATCAGCATAGCCACCATTGTTAAATAGAAATATTGCAAGGTAGCCATGATAGTTGCTATGTTCATTAATTTTGATTTTGAGATTGCCATATTTGCAAGAAACTCTTTTGTAGTCAACATCAACCACTCCCTTTGGGAACAACATGTGAGCTAGCTTTGGATGCTTTGCCATTTTGGCGAACGCGTCTGAGCTAAGAATAAAGTCAGTTCCGGGCCCCTCACCACTATCAGTCACCACCACTTTAACTCCCTCGTTGCTACATAGTGCCTCGTCCTTGCACCTCACCTATAATATATAGTTGATAATAAGTAGTCGCAAACACGTTTATTATAAGGTAATTACAAGTAAATCGTAATGACAAATATTAGAAATTTACCTGATAAAATTGGTAATTTCCCACTATATATGTTAGTTTTGCAAAAAAAATTTGGGAAAAAGGACAAATATACCCCCGAACTATCGTAAATGGTATGTAGATACTCTCCGTCATACTTTTGGGACATTGATGCCCCCGCCGTCCAAAAACTAGAGCATATATATCATTTATACTAACGAACATAAACGTGTCATAATCTTATCCACCGACCCAACATTTAATAAATATTGGATCGACGAATAAGATTGTGCCACGTGTCCCTATTTAGTCTTCTGTTAGAGTGAAGGGCATATATGCTCTAGTTTTTGGATAACAGGCCGCATACCATTTACGATAGTTCGGGATATATTTGTCTGTTTTCCCAAAAAAGTTTACACTAATATATGTATATATAACTTGTTTATCGATTCGAAATTAATTGGAGTTGGTGTAGACAATTCAAAGGTTTACTAAACTAGCCATATGTGTATATGTTATACATTCATTTATATGTATAAGTATTTTATTTTTAAAAAGTACAAAATAATATATATTTCGATAGATCAAATGGAGTACTACTATTATAACGTCGATCCTCAACTCATATCTATAAAGTTCAAATTCTGAATCCGTTTTTGCATACCTGATAACATGCACCACATCCAACTCCATTCTTGTAGAGCTTCCATGACGCGGCGGTAACGAGTCCATCATTGACATATCTTCCATGCTCTCCATAACCACAAGCTCCAGCTGATCAAATATATGTTGCAAATTAATCAAATGTTGAATCAATCAATCTATCTTAAAAGGAAAAAAATTAAAAATCAAATGTGACTTACTAGGTGTTCCTTTGCCATCAGAGGTCTTATAAAATGTAGCTTTAGAATAATAATTTTCAGTACCAAAGGAAAATGCAGGCAAAAGTAAAATTATACATATCATAAAAGTGGAACAATTGTTGAAAGAGATAGCCATTTTTTAAAGCTAAAAATGTAAAGAAGTGTTAATTTGGATTATGAGAAATGTAGAGATAAAGTTCTTTATTTATAGTTGTGTGTTACAAGGGGCAGGTATTGACTATATGGCCAACTTTGTATTAGTCTTGATTTAGTTTTAATTATTTTATTTGAAAAAGAAATATTCAAAGTTTTTGACCCAAATTATATAAAATATGGATCACATCATGAAAAAGAATAAAGAAAAACTTTTTTTTTAAGATAAGTTTAGAATTTGATTAGCATCTTCTTTGAAGCAACAAATAGCTAATTAGTAATGATTATTTAAATCCCATAGATCTTAATTAACAATACTTGGTGCTAAAAATTGTCATTGTTTCAAAATCAATGGATGCTAGTACCTTCTTTTGCCGCGTCCGTACCATTTAATGTAATACTCGTTCCGTTTTATATTAGTTGTCACTTTTTCTTTCTACGCGTTTTAAAAAATATCACAAATAAGAAGTGTCGTTTCTAATTTACATGTTAAGAAATTTGTTAGTAAGGTGAACAACAAATTATATAGGATGATCAAAAGAGTAGCGTTCAAAAAATAATGAAGATTTTTAACGTTTAAGAGTGTCAAAGTTATCCTTTTAAATGAGTAGTGGCGAGAGTTTCACACGCCTTTTGATTTAAATGAATGGTGATGAGCATTCGACAAGTTATGTTTTCATGGATGCAACAAATTAAATAGGAAATATACACTACAACAAAAATAACTTTTAGCAGCAATAATTAATATACATATTAATAAAGAGTGCTAAAGTTTTTACCAGCATTACTTAATTGTCATTGAATTCAATGTCGCTAAAGATTTCAGAGACATATACAAAGAATACTAATTGTCGCTAAAAATACATATTTAGCGACAATAATTAAGATATTACCGTTAATTAATTGCCACTACAATCATTTTTGATATAGTGATATAGATCACATCAATTAAGACAAGAGAAAATAATACTAAATATTATCTTAAAACCTGGTCAACAGCTCATTGTTTGGGAATTTAAATTATGTCACACGGGAATGTTATTAATTTATTGTTTGATCGTTAGACTTTTAATTTATTTACTCTTATAATTCCTTGGAATATGTTTTCTATTTACCAATTGAATACTAGAAATATTTTTTGAAAAATATTATCCATTCCATCGAACACAGCCTAAATGAGATAATTAAGAACAAATAAATATTCATAGATAAATACTCTTATGATTAAAATATTATGGGTTGAAAATAAATGTTCAATTAGACGGGTAAGTTTAGACCAATTCAACTAGAAAAAATTGGAACACGTCTCCGTACAATAAGAAAAAAAAGGTTACTACTCTATAAAAGTAAAAGACGTAATATATAGTCAGGGCCGGCTCAAACCCGATGGTGGCCTAAGGCCAAACTCAAACTAGAGGCCTTAAAAAAAATTATAAATATTTTTATTTTAAATCTATTTTTCTATTTTTTTTAGATGCAAAGTTGTTAATAATTTTTGTGTAGTCAATCTCTTCTAGTAATTCTTTTTCAATCGATAATATAGCCAAACCACTTAATATTTCTTGAGACATTGTCGATCTTAAATAAGATTTTATTATTTTTAATTTTTAAAAACTTCTTTCAGTTGAGGCAACTGTTACGGGAATTGTTAACATTATTCGATAAGCAATGTAAGCATTTGGAAATGAATAAAGTCTTTT